TGAAAAATTGATGTGGGTACTTAAATGAAAGGTCTTGATGAGTGTATCATCGGGATGAGCTTATATCTTTAAAAATGTCAATAGTTCACAAGATAAAAGGTCATTTCTTAATTATGTATCTAAAGATAGAGCACTTCGCATGCAGCCTAATTACTTATCATAATAAATTGACTATCGGCGAGAATGATATAAAACCTTGAAAAGACACAAATTCAAGTCAAGACCTTTGCAATGACACTAAATTTTACTAAAAAAACCGATTTTATCATATTACTATCCTTGAAATAAAATTTTTCTCATTTTCTCAACAATATAGATTACCAATTTTTTGTCCTAATAATTTTTTTATGGAGACCAAAAAATTAATTAACAAATTTGACCTCTCGAAAACCATATAAATTTATTATCAGAACTCGTGTGTTTGATTTGGTTTTAATTAACAAGATAAACAAATTATAAATTCATGAAAACTATGAGCCATGATTAAAATACGTGACGCGCATGATTTTTCCAAGATACACACATTTATTCCCGTAGGCTTCCCTCAACTGCTTGTTCTCGGAATAGAGGTTTATTATACAAGATGCAAAACAGATCATGATTATTCATGACCGGCGTGTAGGAGAAGTAGAGCTTTCCACGTGCCTTGGACGGTATTACGCAGAGATTCTCCCAGTCTTCCAGCAAAAATACGGAATTTAATTAAGACAGAAAACTAAAAGAATCTCCCCATTTATTTGTCCAAGAGCCGTCTAATGGACAACACTTAATTAGTATATACGTATTGATACGATACGGAAGAGGAAAAAATAAAAAATGACAGGATAAACAATACAAGTAATTGTAAACAGAGAGGTAAAGGAATAAAGAACCGAGAAATGATAGATCCATTAACAAAATAAATAGTAAGACGTGTATCTACGTGTAACAATTACGAACCATTTAATTAGAGGCGGAGGATTCCCATAGCGAGCAGTGCAAGTGAGCGTAGCAATCTCACCTGCTCGGGCTGTCACGTTGCCACCCGGTAGAATTACACCACCAGCATACTCTATCTGCGGCCGCTGAGGGCTGACTAGAATGAGACAATTAGCGAAGATTAATTCGTAATCCTGTCGTTTATCCTGTGGCCGCCATCGCGTCTACTTCAGGACGCTTCCACTAGGTGGCGCTTTAGCCAATATATACTATAGTTTATTGTATACTACGGTGCAGTACACTCTATTGTTTGTACACTTGTATACCTGTACGCTTGGATTAGAAGGATAGGAGGGGTAGGAGTCGAATTACGCTGTAGGGATTGATGATAAAAGTCCGATGCTATACTTGGCACATACAAGGCTACAGATTAAGGCTAGACTACGGTTGATCCATTTGATCGCGTAACTAACCTACTATCTTGTTCATTCATCATCAATATACACACATAGGTAGGGATGGTAGGTACAGTGGCACACTTATAGGAAGATTTGTTTGTGTTTAATGAGATTTATTCATGTACATTTCATTTATTCGGGCGTGGAATGTAATTTGATAAATAAATATACCGGTGGAAAAATTTTTATTAAAGAGATTACGTATGCAGTTATTTTGGTTTATTTTTTAGAAGTGTTTGGGATTTAAAACAATTCATTTCATTTTTTTGAACGAAATTTATATTTGATTTTATTGATATATTTTTTTTTGAAAAATACATGAAAAAATGAACAATTTAAAAAAAAAAAAGTTGATCACAATTTTAACAAATTTATAAATTTTTTAGAAAAAATATGATACTTAACTTATTTTTTTTGAATTGTTAGTTTTTTTATATACATTTAAAAAAAAAATATCAAAAAAAGATAAAATAGAAATTTTATCCAAAAACATGAGAGCCAAAATTTTTTCCAATTTTCAAAGATGATTTTTTACCTGAAATATTATTTTTTTGATATTTTTGATATCACAACCATTAATCCGCCGTAAAAACAAAGAAAACAAAAATTATGATCATTCATGAATTCATCTATTTATTATGGCCAAAAATAGGTTTGACCCCACTTATAATTAATTACCAAATTGTTATTAAAAAAAAATTATTTAATAGCTGATACATATTTGTTCCGATGAAAAAATTTAGCAATTAATTGAAACATTGAAATAATTAAAATTTCAGAGTTAGAAATGTTTCTCTAAATTTTATTAAATACTTTAGAATTACATTTTAAAAATTTTTAACGAATTGTAGATTTAAAGTTATTTAATTTTAAAAATTCAAAGTTAAGTGTAATTATTTATAGCAAAAAATTAATAAACTATGTCATTTAAAAAAATGCATCTGTCAAAATTTAACTTCTTGAATCAGTGTATAACTTTTGCAGGATGATATTGCGAAGACGAGGGATTAAGAGAAAGGAAAATATGTATAACATTGTGTGCGCAATACATAATGAATAATTAATGATTTATTGACAACATCAAGGACGGGTACTCGCGAACGAGATCCTGGCTATCGATCAATGTCGAGCCAGTTTTACGACCCGGAAAATCCGGGCGCATAACTGATGAGATCGTCAATTTTTTTTTTTTTTTTCGCTATTTTTAGTGAATTTTTTTTTTCAGATCGATGAATTATTTTAATGGGCTTGAGAATATTTAGTTTTTATTGTTGACTACTGAATCCGGTATTGTTATTTACGTTCCATGAATCGGATACTTTCATTATTATTGTATATTGTATATTGTATTGGATTGTGAAATTGTGGAATTGTAGGATTGAAATTATGTATAATAGGAAAATGTAAGCAAGCTTTTTGCGGACAGATAACAGATAACTAGAAGATATGGGAGAGAGGATGAAAAATGTTCAATTAAAAGTAAAAGTGAAATAAGCGGATTATACTTTCATTAAAAGTTTTGGGAAATTTATTTTTGTTTTCATTGTTGGTATTATTATTATTTTTTAATTTTACCTCTGACCACTAATCGGGCTGGTTCTGAGGCCAACGCATCTTGCGTTGTAAAATCACTGGCGGTGACTTGACACTGCCATAATCCGTCGTCAAATTCTAGGGTTGCTGATCTTACCCAAAGCGAGCAGTCACCCAAATCTGGCGAGGCGACCCATTCATATTTTTTTAAATGCATTCCAATTGGCTGAAAAATAATAATTTATTTTTAATAATAATAATAATAATCGTGATAATAATAATAAATAGCAACCTTGCAGTCACTATGTGACTGCCGGGACTAATGAATTATAAATAAATAAAATTTTGTTTAATTAAATAATGACTTTTGTTAAATTGTACTGTACTTTCTTAAATATTGAAGTTTTTAAAGATATAAGCTCATCCCGATGTTACACTCATCAAGAGCTTTCATTTGAGTACCCAGATGCATTTTCATATATTTTTCATATATACATATATATAAATATATGAAAAATTGATGTGGGTACTTAAATGGAAGGTCTCGAAGAGTATAATGTCAGGGTGAGCTTATATCTTTAAAAATGTCAATAGTTCACAAGATACAAGGTCATTTTTTAATTATTGACATTTTTAAAGATATAAGCTCATTCCGATGTTACACTCATCAAGAGCTTTCATTTAAGTACCCACATTCATTTTGATATATTTTTCATATATACATATATATAATATATATAAATATATGAAAAAACTGATGTGGGTACTCAAATGAAAGGTCTCGATGAGTGTAATGTCGGGATGAGCTTATATCTTTAAAAATGTCAATAATTTACAAGATACAAGGTCTTTTCTTAATTATGTATCTAGAGATAGAGAATTTTCAAATGAAGCCTAAATATTTATCATAATAAATCGAGTATCGGTGAGAATGATATGAAACTTTGAAAAGGCACAAATTCAAGTTAAGACCTTTGCAATGACATTAAATTTCACTAAAAAAACCAATTTTCTCATATGACTATCCTGGAGACAAAATTTTTCTTATTCTCTTAATAATATAAATTATTATAATAATAATAATAATTTATTAATTAAAATTAGTATAAACAGTAATAAATTTTAATTAAAAAGGAAAGAGGATTTCTTGATAACGATATTGCTAGTTTAATCAAACGTTATTTACTAAAGTAAACAGAAACGTGGAATTATGATGCGTCAGAAAGATTGATGCAAACATTTCAGGACGTATTGCTGTTGAATGGATAAAACAAACTGCACGACACTATAATGTACTCGAACAAGATTGAATCACGTTTGAAACGTTTATGGAAAAACGTCATTGAACCGATGGATTCATCTAGCTTACAAACGTATTCGTAAATAAAAAAAAAATAAAAATAAAAGCTCTGCAGAAACAAAAAAAAATTCCTCCATTTGTGACGCGAGTGTGTAGTTGTGTGAGTTTAAAAGTAGTACATTCAAATCGAATAAGGATTTACGTGCCTCCGTACAATACACAACACACTACTCAAGAGGTTATGGTATTGAAGTATTAACATTCCATACAAACCGTTTCTTCGACAATAGAAACAGTCCCGTTTCGTATTGAATTTCCGCGTCCTGACAACAAACCAAGACTACCGCACAACTAAACCAAAGGATCTTTTTTACTTTATACTATATTTATATCTACTTTTTCTGTTTCTGAAAATATATAGATGTGTATCGCGTATGTGTACCGCGTATGTGGTGGGTGTTATATGCACAGAAAGCTCTGCGAATAAATGATTGAACTTCAATCTCGCAAATGGGTTCCCTAGTTTTTTTTTTTTTATTTCATTTTTCACTAAATTTTTTACTTTTATTTATTCTTTTTAAGATTTTTAGAGCGAAAATTCACTCGATTCTCCAGCGAATTCGCTACGGTGAATATTTAAACGAGGTCACAAAGTCCAGACCTAATTTTGCTGGTTGCTAATTTTTTGCGGTCTAAATTTATATTTATTTTTAAAAATTAAATTACGGTTAGTTGGGAAATTATTTATGTTAATTAAATACTGACTTAATTTTAAAGATTTAATTTTTTTTTAACAAACTTTTCTTTTTGAAGAACTACGAAAATTTTTATTTAAGAAAATTTGTCTAATTAAAATATACTAGCAACCTTGCAGTCACTATGTACCTGCCATGACTTGTGAACTAAAAAAAATCAAAAATTTGCTTTGTTAAATAATGAATTTTGTTAAATTGCACTGTAATTTTTTAATTATTGACATTATTAAAGATATAAGCTCATCCTGATGTTACACTCTTCAAGAGCTTTCATTTGATTACCCACAGGCATTTTGATATATTTTTTATATATAATATATATAGATATATAAAACACATGAAAAAATTGATGTGGGTACTCAAAGGATAGGTCTCGATGAGTGTAATGTCGGGATGAGCTTATATCTTTAAAAATATCAATTGTTCACAAGATACAAGGTCATTTCTTAATTATTGACATTTTTAAAGATATAAGCTCATCTCGATGTTACACTTATCAAGAGCTTTCATTTGACTACCCACATGCATTTTGATATATTTTTCATATATACATATATATAATATATATAAATATATGAAAAATTGATGTGGGTACTCAAATGAAAGGTCTCGATGAGTGTTAAGTCAGGGTGAGCTTATATCTTTAACAATGTCAATAGTTCACAAGATTCAAGGTCATTTCTTAATTATTGACATTTTTAAAGATATAAGCTCATCTCGATGTTACACTTATCAAGAGCTTTCATTTGACTACCCACATGCATTTTGATATATTTTTCATATATACATATATATAATATATATAAATATATGAAAAATTAATGTGGGTACTCAAATGAAAGGTCTCGATGAGTGTTAAGTCAGGGTGAGCTTATATCTTTAAAAATGTCAATAGTTCACAAGATCCAAGGTCATTTCTTAATTATGTATAGAGATAGAGAATTTCCGAATACAGCCTAAATACTTATCATAATAAATTGACTATCGTTGAGAATGATATAAACCTTGAAAAGGCACAAATTCAAGTCAAGACCTTTGCAATGATACTAAATTTCACTAAAAAAACCGATTTTATCATATGACTATCCTAGAAACAAAATTTTCCTTATTCTATTAATAATAAAGACTTAAATATCGCTTACAAATTTCCCGACAATCGTTGCAATAATTTTCTATTTAAAAATTCTTTTAACAATTTTAATTAAAAAAGAAAATAATTATCACAGCTAAACAATTAATGAAATTAGAAACTGTGATAGAACGCATCACTTATACACATTATATTAATACCAGTGTGTTACATTTGAGAAATAAAATTCCGGATTTACGAAATATAATTAAATTAAAATTAATACGGTGGATAGTTTTGTAACTCTGATAGTAATACCAGAGCACTGCAGTGATAGTTAAATTTTCAGTCAGGCATACTCTGGGTTAACCAACGTGTCGCAGTAGCTGGATTGCCTAAGTAACATTCAGGAGCGGTGTAGTGTAACTATTTCTACGTGGATTGGTGTGCTGTTACATTATGCAGCGCGGTATGATGTGACGGTAAATGTAGTAGAGCAACACAACAGTCAGACGTGTCAGAATAACTACCAGGATGAGTATGAGTATAATAATCACTTGTTACTGTACAGAGTTTGGTGTTGAGTACAGACGAGTAGAAACGATAGAGAAACTTGCCGAATATCTCAGTAGATAAATTCCCCTGTGGTCAGACCTATACTTCCTCTACTCATACTTCTACTCCTACTCTGTCCTCCAGCCCTCAGCTTTTGCTGCACAATTATGTTACTGGCATTTAGTATCTAGTACCTGGTATTCCCATTAAATCTATATATATATATATATATATATATATATATAGATGTACCAACCGTTTCGGATATTTTATTGAACATTTTTTATATGTCCTCAAATAATCCGAATTTCAAATAAATTGCTCAACGTTAAGCAATTTTGTACATTGTTTTTGTATACTGTACAAAATTTGTAAAATTAGCTTTTATAAATGGGTTTTAATTACACGCGCTGATGCAATATGCTGGTAAAAATAATTTCATTATGTATGAAGATTAATTTTAGAAAGTTTCATTATATGTCGGTGCTTTAAAAACGCCACTACGGTAAATAAATATTGTCGGGTAATTATTATCATTAATTTTGCTCGACTAATTAATGGTTAATAATTAAGTTGAGTAATTGACCAAAACACGGTTGAAAAAAAAATTTAACGAATTTAATTTATAGTGACCTATTTATTTTATTTGAATAAAAGTATCCTCGATTCTTCAAAGAATTTAATAATTATTTTTTAACATAAAAATAATGAATTTTATTTGAATAGTTAAAAAATTTTATTTTTAGTGACCTACTGAATTTATTTGAATAAAAATATCGTCAACTTTTTAAAGAATTTAATAATTCATTTTTAAAATGAAAATGATTAATTTTTTAGTATTCGTTTGTAATAAAAAATAAATTTTAACAACTAAAAAAAATTCCCGTGTGACTAAAAATAAATCAACTAAAGTTGATTAATAAAAGCTAGCAACCTTGCAGTCACTATATGTGACTGCCGTGACTTGTAAACTACACATAAATAAAATTTTGCTTTATTAAATAATTAATTTTGTTAAATTGCACTGTATTTTCTTAAATATTGACGTTTTTAAATATATAAGCTCATCCCGATGTTACACTCATCAAGAGCTTTCATTTGAGTACCCACATGCATTTTTATATATTTTTCATATATACATATAAATATATGAAAAATTGATGTGGGTACTTAAATGAAAGGTCTTGATGAGTGTAACACCGAGACGAGCTTATATCTTTAAAAATGTCAATAATTCTTAAGATACAAGGTCATTTCTTAATTATTGATATTTTTAAAGATATAAGCTCATCCCAATGTTACACACATCAAGAGCTTTCATTTGAGTACCCACATGCATTTTTATATATTTTTCATATATCCATATATATAATATATATGAAAAATTAATGTGGGTACTCAAAGGAAGGGTCTCGATAAATGTAAAGTCGAGGTGTGCTTATATCTTTAAAAATGCCAATAGTTTACAAGATAAAAGGTAATTTCTTAATTATTGACATTTTTAAAGATATCAGCTCATCTC